TATATATATATATATATATATATATATATATATATATATATATATATATATATATATATATATATATATATATATATATAGGGGATATTATCAGCTGCTTAGATGGAATTGATTCACATGTTTTGCCAGAGCCAGGGGCAAATGAATAAAAATCTAGGATGATGCAGAAACAAGTCTGAATGCATCAATTCTAACACCAACCAAAATCTCAGTGCATACAGAGGGAAATGTATGCTGTGTGTTCTAAAATTGTACACTCAATGCATCAGACATGTTGCTAAATATACAGTTAATCCAAAAGTTATTCACACCGCTGGCAAATTTAGAATGAAAGCAATATTTTTTATTTTCGAATGTCTGTCAAAATAGGATATTGCAGTGTGCCAAGGATTTGAGCATGAAGAGAAATTCATTTCACGTCTAGTTTTCACTTTATTCAAAAGGAGAATGTCTGAATTGATTTTTCCCCACTGCACGTCGTCAGGTTCTGTGTGAAAATTCAAGGTTCGACATTATTCTAAATAGTCTGTGCTGTTTCAAAGCAGCCTGATTACCCTGATTAGTTGCTTTCGTCATGTTAACAGCAGCTCTCTGCAGCTGGTTTGGGGCAGGTTCAGGTTTTTATGGAGTGTGAAATGTCCTGATGCCTGAGTGTATGCATGCGGGGTTGTTGTCTATGTGTTGCCAGTCGATAAGACTGGTGGCCCTTCCTGGTCACCAGTAATCTTCTATAGTGGATATTCAGGGAATTTGTTGTTCAATAGCTATAGTGGTTTGTTGAGACTGAATTGCTCATTTTCTTGGTTGGAGGTTTTACTCCCATGATTGTGCTCTAGAAAAATTTCTCTGAAAATAACAAAAGTTTACTCAAGTTGTAAAGACGCTGGAATATAAGCTTCAAAAAAATTTTTTTTTACTCTTCCTGGCATTAACCTTTACGTGTGGCTGTACATCGACACGGACTGTGGCTTAGAGACCAATCTGGAGAGACGCAAGACAAACGGTCACGAGTCAGACTCTAGGACTCTCTGTAACCTAGAGAAGACTGTGTTGTTGTTGTCCTCTAAAGGTTGACCATTTTAGACAGATAGGAGCATCGAACTGTGCGCGAGTGAGAGCGGACTGTCAAAACATGAAAAAAGTTTGTCAGAGTCGCAAAGAGGGGAAGCTTCACAGAGAGATTAGCACTAATGAGCTGTGACTCTGGCCATAGAGAGAAGAGACTGTTAATGAGTCTTTGTTGCTCCGCCACTCCGTTTCTCTCACAAGCGTTCGTTCACGAGCTCGCATCTGTACGTAGCAGGGAGCAGGGGCAGGATTCACTCTCCGAATCACTGCAACATCTCTGTTTTTCTCTCTCCGCATTCTAGGCTTTTTGTTTGTTTTCCCACTTTATTCAGATTTTATTTTGGCCACTGGAGCTTCAGATGCTTCGTTGGAGGCTCTACTGCTCCGACAAAGAACGCATCACTTAATAAGAACAGGATTACAGACGTTCTTAAGCCAAACAGCAGACAACAGTTTCAAGCAGTGAGTTTTGTCACGTCTCATTTTCAGCATAAGAACCAGAAGGTTTTCTCTAAATGCGATTCATTACTTATGGATGAAACCAGCATGGAGGAGGCTGTCAGGGAGCATTTTCCTCTGTGCTCCGTGGTGGATGAAATTTCCAATTTAGAAGAAAATGTAAGTGTATAGATTGAGGATAATCCAGCATTAGAGATTCTCATTGTATGATAACTTATAAAGACAAATAGCACAATGTCACAATATGATGGTATTTATACAGTAGAAACCGTTATTAAAAAAACAGACTATTTCTATGGAGGTAAAATGATGTAATTATAGTTATGATAGTGGCATACCATTGATTATTAGTTTGTCAGAACACTAAAGCAGGGATACAGAATATTATATATTCTGTGGTATTTTTCAAGGGTTTATTGTTCTGAATTTGTTGTTTTGTTCTCAAAGGAGAAATACTGGTATAACAAGCTACTCAAGACTAAAGTAGCAATAACACAGTGACTGTGAGAAGGAAGAAGTCGGGACTGGAATGTTGTCTGAGAGCAGTAGGTTGGAGACTTGACAAACTGGCACCATATAGAGAGATTTATAAGCTTTATTTCAAATCCAGTATACCAGTGGTATAAACTACAACCTTGTGGAAAAAAAAAACTGTAATTCAAAACAAACATTTTGGGAACACTCAGACAGATGCCCCGCTCCACTGCTGTCTCAGCTACTTCCTTTCAGACCTGTACCGCCGGGATACCTTGCATTAAACCACGTAGTGATTGTAAAGGCTCACTTTTCTCCACATAATCACCCTGTGTTTCTTTGTAATTGAGGTTGAACTCTTTTAGTCCAGAGTCTGCAACTAATTTTCCAGCAACAACGTGCCCTTTGGCCCTAAGAGTGAACTCAAGCTAACGCGACACATGTGGTGGACAGAAGAAAAGAGAAAGAACTGATGTTTAAATCCAATTGTCTGCAGCAGTCAAACAATTCCAACTTTTACATGCAGGGGAGACATAATATGTAAAACCTGCAGTAAAAGAAAACATTTCTTCCAGCTGCGGTTATCTCTGTGATGTTTGCATTTTCTTCATTCTCAAGCTATCTGTAGTGGCCATGGCATAAACAGTGTTTCTTCGTTTTTCCTCGGGTTTAGCTGTTTCCAATCCTAGACTCCAACTGCTTCATAATCTGGGGCCAAAAACAAGCTTTTTGTGAATCCGTAGCTTGTTGCTCGTTGGTGTGGAGAAATCCAGCCTCTTCCACTTAGTGCCTCCATGCTCACCAATGTCTCCAGCATACATGATTCTTATATAAGTCCGTCCCTTTTCTCTGACATCTTTCTTTTTTAATGCACGAATCTTTAACTAATAATAAAAAACAGCAACAACAAAAAATAAACCTATCTGCTTTGTGTTTCTCCTAAATTATGATTAAATGTGCACTTCAAAGAGCCTTGTTGCAGAAACAGATATTCTGAGAAATAACTAATTCAAAAGGAGATTAAAAACAACTCATAGACACCGTATGGACTGCATCAAGATGGTAAACACTGGTAATTTTAGAAGTACACATAAGAAGATACTGCAGTTTTAGCTATTAGTAACAGCTCTGGTGTGAAACCCAATTTTATATTTTCTGCCTCCGCAGTAAAAACCTTTCAAACAAGGCGCGGGGCTGAAAACAGCGGTGATGAACGTAGCACGATAACGTGTTTTCCTCCTGTTTCCTCCTCTGGCTTTGACTCCGCTGTGTTCTCTGTTATGTGTTTTTGTTGTTTATTTTCTCCATTATCTCAGTTTTTCACAGACCCCTGTGCCAGCAGCCCTTGTCTCCATGGAAACTGCAGCCGGAGCGAAGGCGGGGAGGAGGGCGAGCCGGCCTACTCGTGCGAGTGCACAGAAGGCTACGAGGGAGAGAGGTGCGATCAGATCTTGCTGGACCTGCCGCCCGCCGCCGACTGGGGCCCGGCCACCCCCTCCGCTCCCGAGCTGGCCACACCGGTGACCTCCACAACGACGGCTACGACTCCGCCCCAGCAGCCAACCACAGTCCCGGCCACCACCACGCCGGCGCCGCCCACCCTGCAGCCGTGGCAGCCCAAGCCCGGGCAGAGGCTGCTGGTTGTGCAGTGGGATGCAGACAGGGTGAGAGCATTTCCTCAGCTCCAGTTTGGTTAGAGTAAAATTCAGTTTCATTAATTTAAAGTCGTCCTGATCTTAACAGCAACAAAGCAGTCCAAGACAATCACACTTCCACATCACATAATACTCTTATTCTAAAAGTTTTACACTAGATCCTGTTTTCAGTATAGAATAACTCAGCCTACGCAGTATATTTTAAGTCTAAGTGTTACAAATGTTGACAAAAAGCTGATCTAAGTTTGCCTCAGTTCCAAACTTAGAATTGAGGCTGAAAACCAGCACCTGTGGTCAGCCATATTACACAGACAGCAAATGTTCATAATGAGCAATTGGAGTTATTAAAAGTTGCTCCGCAAAGTCAAGAAATTTCAGTCTGGAAAAGTGAATTTTAAAACTGAAATGTTTTGGGACCCTCGGTGCTGTTCTTCCTGGGCGTGTTGCCAATTCACTATTGAAGTAATTCTGTTAGACCGATCTCTCCTGGGAAAGTTTGCCGTCGTTATTGTTTCATTTGACAACAATAACTCTTTTGGTTTTCTGGAATCCCAAAGCCGCAGAAGGACCTTGAAACACTTAAAAGACTGAAATATATGAAACTGTTTCTCAGCTGAAATTGTTGAGACCGATGCATATGACATGCTGGTTTTTTTAGATCTTTTATTCTGCTTTATGTTGCCTGACACGTTCCCGATTTTACACAACACGCGACTTGTGAATTAATAAAGGGGGACAATAACTTTCTCACAGATTGACAGATTGGTTTAAGATAATTTTTTTTTCACCCTGAAGTTATCTTTGTTTGATTTTTGAAATTCTTTTAATGATTTGAAACCTTTAAAGAAATGTGTTTAGGACTAAATATTGAAAATGTGATGGTTTGTGCTTCAGGTCACCGAGGGTCTGCACTGTGTGAGCCCTGAGCTCTGTGAGCTGACGTCAGGGACCCTGACTCTGTCTCTGGAGGTGCCTGAAGAAACCGCCGTGAAGTAAGAGGAATATCACGAAGTTCTTAAAAAACCGGCAGCTCCCTTCTAAACATAGGAAAAAGTTGAGAAAAGCCATCCTCCTCTTGCTTTAAAGTGCACATCAGCTGCAGTTTAAACTCCAGCCTGGAGATGACCACCTAATTAATCTGTTGCTGCGAAAGTTCCTCAACAACTGATTGCTCTAACTTTTAAAAACGAGCTGCATTCAGGTGCATAAGAGGGAAGTCGCTGGCCAGCCCCGTGTAATCTATAAATCTGTAGATTCTTCTGCTGCAACCCGAGAATAGGTAGTCCTGACCAAAATGTACCTTATAAAAATACAGAGTCTGCATAATTATTCGACAGAAGAAATAAAAATAGAGCCTGCTGTGTACATTATTTTATCTACATACTTACCATTGCAGCAACTTTCGCTGGAAACATTTTTCAGCTTGAAGGTTGCGTCACTAATACCCTTTCATTTGAAACCCTGCGACCCAACTGTGTCGTGCCAGCACAGGTGCGCTCAATTTATTAGGAGTGTGACTGTCCAAAAATGGTGCTACAGCTGCCCTGTAAACAGGAGTTCAATGAATTATGCAGAAGGAGTGGTCGAGGTGATTGCTGGATGCCCTTGACGTTCTCATTATACATGAGAGGCACGGCGCAGGGCTCTGCTGATGATCCCAGACAAAAGGCTGCGAATTGGGGGGTAATCAGCCTCCGCTGCCCTGTTTTCCTGCTTTTTTGATTACACAACAATAATCCCTGAATAATGAACCGTGATGCTGGTTCTGAGGAGACTTTTTTTCAGACTAACATCTAGCACCGTCCAGAGCCGCAATGACCGCCGAGTGGCGCTTAATTAGAAAAGCAGATAGTTGTAAAACACGTCTGACGGACACAGAGTGTTGAAAGGTTCAGCGAAAAGGGAGTAGTGGTTGAAGTCCTGTGAGAAAAGTCAAGATAGCTTTTCTTGAACCCACACATTTCTGAAAGGTTCTTGTGGCCTTTATTCATTAGTAGTTTGACAGGATGAAGAGCAGAGAGAAAAGGGGAAGACATTCAGTAAATAGCCCAGGCTGGGAATCAAACGAGTAATTTCTCCCTAACCCAAACTAACTGTGTGTTTCCACTGGTGGTGCCATAAATAAGGTCGAGCCCTTTGCTTATTCCCAATGAGCAAAATGCCGACTACTGTGGAAGATTTTATGCCGCGTCAAGTCATCTCAGTCGGATTTATTTTAGAGCTAGCCATAGATGGACATGCTGTTGGACTTTTGGGTCATTGTCCCTTTGAACACAAACTAATGTCAGATATTCTCCTTCAGGATTTTCTGGTAGAGAGCAGAATTCATGGTTCCATCAATTACAGAAAGTAGTCATGAAGCAGCCCTAAAGCATTATACCGCCACCACCATGTTTGATTGTCAGTGTGATGACCTGAGCCTGAAATGCTGTCTTAGATTTACATCAAATGTGACCTTCTAAAAAGCGTCACTTTTGTCTGAATAGTTCATTGAACATTTCCCAAAAGTCTTTGGAATCATGAAGATGTTGTTGCTAAAGAGAGTTTGTTTGTTTTATTTTTTTGTCAGACCTTATTACTATTATTTTTGGATTTTACTGCGGCTTATTAGAGATCTATTCCTCAATAAATTATGACTCCCGCGAACCTTAAGTAGCCGTAGATATTCAGCCAGTCTGAGTTACAGATGGTTATTTTCTTACAGCTATGGCAGAAAAAAAAAAAAAAAAAGAAAACTTCACCTTCAAGTGACCAAACCGCAGTGTTATTATTTCAGTCACGTTGCCTCAGTTTCAGTTTTGCTCCATCTCTTCTGTGGCACTTGAGGCAACTATTGCATCAGCCCACATGTGGTCTTCTTTCTTTAATTTGAAAGTTAAATGTGTGTTGTAATATATTCTGGACCACAGCTTTCAGGCTTGCTTTTCCACTTAGTCGATAATAAAGTTACATCAATTATTCCCTCCCTGATGTCAGATTTCGTCTTTCGTTTTAGCACATCTCAAATTTCCGATCCTCCTTCTCCTCGGCGCTGCACTTTCTGCCCGCATCGCGTCGTCGGAAAATCAGCGTGGCGGCGATAATGTTCACGGCTCTTATCAGCTGTAAACACTCATTAGACCGAGTGCACAACATGGAGGGCTAAGAGGATAATCACATATTGTTTTATTTTGTTTTGGTTAATATGGGAAAGATTAATTCAGTGCAGGAGGGAGGCTAGAGAGGCTCTCGACGCCGTTTAGCTGTGAGCAGCTTCACTCGAGCTTTCTGAGAATCTTTCTTGCAACTGCAGCTGACAGATTACGTTCTACTCCCCTGTCTGTCTCTCACGAGGGCTTTCTGCGAGAAGATCCAGCTTAGTTCAGCTTTGCTCGACTCCTTCCTCCCTCTTCAACAAAAACAGCTGGTTCACTTTAGTCTTTGGTTGCATCTCAGGCTTCATCCTCACGCCGAAGAGCCCGTTGGCAGAATACTGACCCTTGAGGTTTTCTGTATACACCCTTTACACAACGTTAGGTTTTTTTGTTTTTAGAGGTTTTGATTTGTCACACGTCTTTTGCAACAAAAAAAAAAAAAAAAAAAGGATGCAGACTAAAACAATATTTTGCTATCAAAAGGCTGAAAAGTTGCATTTTGGACCAAGTCGACAGAGTCAATAATCACTGAACTCTCCTCCTGCTTCCAGTTGCTTGTTGATTTCCCTCATGCTTTTGCTTTCCTCTGTCACCAGGGTGCTGGTGAACGCCAGTGGAGCTCCGGTGCTGTGGCGTGTGAGTGAAGAGGGTTTCCTCCGCTCGTCTATTCTGAACGGCACCACCATATGGTTTCTGCAGGCCCCGGACGGCCTGGTGGTACCAGACCGTTTGCTGCCCCTGGGACAGAACTACTTCCTCAGTGAGTTTCTCCTCACTGCAGATAGCGAAGGACAACCTGCAACGCGAAACACCCCCCACATCTGTTGGTCATTGTGTTTGGTCATTGAGCATTCAGAACTTTGCACTGCAAACATACAAAATCTTACCAAGTATTTTTTTATTTTGTCTAGTGTATAGTGAAAATATCTGAGTACACCTGAAATAAGACAAAATAACATAAAAATAACATTTTAGCCAAACAAATAAGCCAATAACCTTTGAACGTAGATAAATAAATAAAAAAATGCTTGTACTTTTCACTTCCACTCACTTCCTGTCGAACAGCTGACCTTCACGTCTGCTACCTCTGTGGCGCTCGACTCTTCTGCTTCACGGAGAGAAGAAAATGATGGAGTTAAATCAGGAGGAAAAGAGGGGAAATGCAGGGCGGGAGAGAGGGATTCAGATAAAGAAGGGGAGCAAAGCAGAGACAGCAAGGCAGAAAGGGATTACAGGGAAGGACGAGGAGACAAAGGACGCACGAGGACAGACGAAAGGTCAAACTGTGAGGAACAATCGGCTTGAATGCATTTTGTTCTTTCGGATGCCAGCCAGGCTTAATTGCGTGTGACTAATGTTCACAACAAAATCGTCCACACTCATTTTTGGTGCCTCATTCGGGGGATTTGCACACGTGAGAAGGACGAGACAATGCCTACCACACCTGAGGTGAAAACAATTCATGTTCTCTGAGCTTTCACGGTTTAAAGCCGCAATGACTCTGCAGCTCCAAATTTCATTGTCATTGGGGTTAATGATCGTCAAGTCAGGGGAGGACGGGGGAACGCGCACAGAGCTGTCAGCGTCCCCATTGGTCAGGCCAGGCTGACGTCACCGCTTCCATCAGCGGCGGACGTCCCGCTCATTGGTTCAGGTCAGGTGCTGCAAAACGGCACCTGATATTTACTACGGAGCTATTTTTATCCGAGCAGCAGCAAAGCTGTCCGGCTTGATTGAGCGCATAATAAAAGAGACGTTTTGAGATGAAGGGAGAGGCTTTACCGGAGAACATGTTAGAGATCTGCCTGCGTTCATTTGTCTTTTGACTCATCTACAGGGGAGCCGTAGTAACTCTGTGAAACTGTGAAGACGACCTGATGCTTTTTCGTGGCAGTCGATGTGCTCAGTGTGTACAAAGGAGCAAAAGTACACTTCTAAATCTGGAGACCAGGAAGCGTATTTTCAGATGCTTACAGTGGGATTGGAAGAAAGATCAGAAATGTGTGGCCCTTTTGTATTCAGCTCCAAAAAGATCCCAGCAAATTACATCACACTTAACAGCTACAGCATGACAAACACGCGAATAAATGCGTCTTGAAGGGAAGCTATTTTAAATTATTGTTAAATTCCTTGTTGTGTCGAGGTAAACTGACTTGTTTTCACATCAGTATCTACGTGAAGCAACTGTTTAAGACCTTCAAACCCACAAAAGCGTTTGTTTCCCCCGAAGGCGTGATCCGTGTTGGCGCTCCCACGACCCCGGAGGTCACGCTGCGTCTCAACCTGACGGTGAAGGCCAGCAGCTGCGTGGAGCCCGGCAGCAGCTTCAGCGATCCTCAGTGTTCTGGGAAAGGGAAATGCGTCACGCAGCTGTCGGAGGTGAGGATTCACAGAAACGGCGAAGGTTCGCTGCAGTCTAAAGTGTTCGTTCCCTGGCCTGATCATTTTATTACATCGCACAAGGAGAATCGCTCTGTTCTCTCAGCGGTCAGCAGCTCTCCCTGCTCTTGTTGGATGACTTACAGCACATAATGTTCTTACTATTTATGCTATTTAATGAAAAAAAATAAATCAGTAAGAAGCCCTGTTGGTGCCACAAGCTCCAACAGGGCTTGTGGCACCACAAGGGCTTGTGCTTTTTTTAATGGTTTAACTGAAGGCCTCACTGTCATATCCAGAGCTGTAAAATGAGCACAATTCATACAAATGTGAGTTTACTTGAGCTGAATGAATAAAACAAAAATGTTTCTGTTCAGTTTTGTTCCATTTTAAATTTTTAGACCGTCTTGAATGCTCAGTTTGCCTTCATAACCCTCTGGTCCAGTCAATAAGTAAAGAAAGTCCAACTTTGTGTAATTTAGTCTGAATATAAATCCAGATGTTCTGCGAAGGCCGCAGAGATTTGTTGGAGAGCGACGGAGAACAAACAGCATCAGCATCAAACCAAGGGACAACGCAGACAAATCCGGAATGAAGTTGTGGAAAAGTTGTGTGCCTTACTTTTGCTCCATCCTGTTCCAGTTTCAACTTCTGGACCATCAAAGAGTCAGATAGTGGTAGAAGGCGCTCTGGTTAGATCACATATGAATGTAACGTTTTTCCCTGTTAGCTACAAGAGGCTGCACATACACCGTTCTCCTTGTTGAAAGATGGTGGTGGCAGCATAATGATGTGGCAATACTTGTCTCAAGCAGGGACGAGGAAATAGGTCATAGTTGATGAATAAATACAGAAAAGTCACTGAAGAGGACTTGAGACTGCAGGATAACAACCTCTATGCATGATACGACAGAACATTTTCAATCGCAGGATGTCCACGTGTCTTTTGTCCTTGTCCTGTCCTACAACATGTAGACTCATCCTTGTTTCAGCGTGCTTCTGCAGAACTTGATGAAGTGCTGAGGAAGTAATTCGGTCATTTGGTTCAGGTGTTGCAGGAGGGACAGACTGGCCTCTGAGGATTAGAGTTGGAAACCCCAGGAAAGTTCTAAATCCAATTGAAAGTCTGTGACAAGATTTGGACGTTTCCACCCACAGATGCGCTCTCTGTCGGCTCTGACCGAGCCTGAGCTGCTCTGAAAAGAGCATGAGGCGAATGTTTCAGCTTTTGTATGCGCTGAGCTGGTAGAGACACTCCAAAACGCTTGTGAAGATTGGTTCCACAAAGCAGCGACTTGGACGTGATGAATTCATATACGCTACCAAACTTTTTAGATTATTCTTTAGAAAAGTAATTAAAAAAATAGGTGCCCTTTTCCATCCACTCCACAGTTATGAGCTAATTTACCAGCCACACAAAATACAGAATAAAACGCAGTGAAGGTCGTGGTTGCAATGAGACAAAGAGTGAAAAGCACGAACGTTGTAATTTAGTCAGATGCTCTTGAAAGTAATACTGATAATTTTCATCTCAGTTAAAAGAAGCAAACATAATCTTGAAGCTCAGACCTGCTGCCTCGCCGGCGTCATCTGAACAGATTCAGTCTCTTTTTTTTTTTTTTTTTGCATCTGGTTGAGAAAGTCAAAGTGCGTCCCTGATGATTGAAGCGTTTTGTCTCTGAATCGTTTTGCAGCCTTTAGACTCGTGTTCTTCTCTTTAACGCGTGTGATTTCTACCTGCAGAGCACTTTCTTCTGTGAGTGTGAGGACGGCTACACCGGGATCTTTTGCGAAGAGCTCGACGCCTGCCACCACCGGCCCTGTTGGAACAACGCCACCTGCACTGACGTCAGACAAGGTGGCGAGGGGCAAAACTTCACATGTACCTGCCCACCAGGTACGCTTTGATGCATTGCACATGTGTTTAATAGGTTTACCTTCAGGTGATTGTTAAGAGTGCGACTCCGTGGTTTGTGTTTGTTCTAACCTCTTCCTTGGCTTTCAGAAAATCTCTCATGAGATCAGAGACGGTGAACTTTTCATCCTGAAAGTAATTTTTACGTGTGGGTTTGGGTGTTTTGGACTTCAAAACAATGTCTCCTGACAGGGTAGTAAATGTCAAAGGGAAACTGCTAAAGGTGCTAATAAGCCCACTTTGAAAAGTTGATCAAATGTCCCCAGACATCACATGGAGTTTTAATTACAAATTACAAAAAAAAGAAAATAATTTCTTGTTATATCAAAAATAGCATCTATGCATTGTTCACATAATCCGGGATTGTAAGTTTAGTAATCCCAAGATGCTAAAAAGGCAACAATTCAAATTTTCATATGATGATTCAGAACATGTGCGGAAGAATCTGCTGATTTCAAATGTGCAAGATTATTCTCTGACAGCACAAAAATACATTTATTTTAAATTGTGGCTCATGAGAAAACATTTTCTGAAGCTTTAGAATATTTATTAACTAATATTAATGGTAATTTCTCTGTTTGTATTAGAATAAAAATGCACAGTACACTGGGGTGATTTACATTTTGGAAAAAAAAAATTACACATAATTTTTATTAAGTTCCTTTTTTAAATGAGCCTCATTACATAAATGTTGGTAGAAATCATCAAAACATGAGTTATGTTAAAATGTTATATATGGGCGTTATAAATAAAAATTATTATTATTATTATTATTATTATTATTATTATTATTATTATTATTATTATTATTATTATTATTATTATTATTATTCACATTTTTGGTGTACCTCCACTAATAGAAATTATATAATTAATTCAAGTTATCTCCCTTACAAAGACATGTTTACAGACCTAAATGAAAAAAAAACAAAAAAAACCCAAAAACAAATTACTAACTGTACCATCATACAAAAATCATAAATTGGACTTTTGTGAGACAGGAAGTCAAATCACTAGAAATACATCAGATGATATTGGTGATCTTCAAGCACCAATAATATCATCCAATAAATAAACAAAATAAAATAAAGTCAGTCGTCTTTTTTTTGTTTGTTTGTTTTTTTGCTTAAAAACATCAAGCAATCTTGTGGGACTGTTTTTGTTTGCCAGGTTATGAAGGCGAGCGCTGCCAAATGCTGGTTGACCACTGCCTCTCTCAGCCTTGTAAGAATGGAGCCACCTGCTTCAGCAGCTTGGCTGGACCCAGGTGCTACTGTCCCGAAGGTAAAAAGCCAATTATTCTGCAACTAATATTTGGTGTGGATGTGAAGTAAACAAACTAGGAAGCATTAGAGTCTCTGCCAGAAAAATGGAGTTTGTGGGATTCGATATGAATATTATTTTTAACAGTTAAGCAGGAAAAGACGTCTAGATGCTGCATGTTTGTGCGCTCTAAAACAGCATCTGGCATTTTTTTTTTTTTGCCAGGTTGAGTATCTGCTGCATGTTTTAGAGTATCTATGCCACTCTGATGCTTAATTTAAACCTTCCTCCTCCTTTCTAATTAGTCTTCATAGGCTGAGCGACCTGCATCAGCCACTCTGGGGAAATCTGTGACCGCAAAACTTATGCATTCCCCCCCCCACTCCCCACAACTAGAGCACATGGGTTTGCAATTAGTTTCAGCCATGTGCATGTGACTGTGTTCACATGAAAATGCAGCAGATAACAATGAAAGGAGGCACAAAAATAAGAAACGGCAGGAGTGGAAAAGTGCCATTGTTGGACGAGCTGCATAAGTTGAAATTCCCAATAGTCAGTCCAGTATTGTGCTGGCTAAACTGGAACACCTGACCAGACAGCAGTGTCCCCAATGAGACAGAGAAGCTCTGATCCACTGTTTGTGAATCTACTCAGCTGGCATTAAAGAAACAGCGATAGCAATGCCACGTTTCTGTAAGTTTTTTTTTTCTTTTAAGAAAATATGACTTTGTTAGATAACAGGTTAGTAAGAAAAAAATAATAAAATCCAAGAGAATTAAATGCTTTTGTCATCCACTTCTGGAAAAACATATGGACCTTGAACCAAATAAATGAATGTTGAAATGTTTTCCATCGGTGCCAGTATGACTGTTCTCCTCCCATGCCTGTGAATAATCTCCAAATGATGCTTCAGTGTTTCTGCGCACACACACACACACACACACACACACACACACACATGAGCAATAAAGTCATGACAACTCCATAATAGCTGTCATCAGAGATGCATCAGCTCTGTGATCACTTTGCCAGCGATGCCAGCAGGAGCCGCATTTTTATCTCCTGCAGTGGAATCGCCCCGCAGCGTTCACATTTTCATTCTGTTTTTAAAAAAAGATCTGCTAGTGTTTTTTTTTTTTTTTTCACCATAAACAAATACTGATTTCTCATAACTCCTGGCAGTAAAAGCTGAGAAGACACCAAGGAAAATTACTACTGTCATTGCCAATAAAAGCTTCAGAAAATATGTTTTTTTTCTTCATATTTTCTGATTAAAAAAATAGAATAAAAACAACAGATTCCTCAAAGAGTTGTTGTAGATGGTGATGTCTGGACACATGATCAACACAAATTGGCTTCCAGCTTTAAGTACCATGGACAGCGCTGCGTGTTCGTAGCATTCATGGTGTGGGCTATTTTTTGTTCTACTTGCACTCGGACATTTCAGGTTTGAACATGTTGCAATAACATCCCCTCTCCTCTCTTCTTTTCTTTTTAATTCAGGGAGAGTTGACCAAATACTTTTGTCTGCTGCACAAATCAGGGGAGCTGCACTAGAGGCACATCTGAAACATGTAGATGTGCCACTCTGATGTGTGCAGCCCTTTGACTTGTTCAGCAGTTATACTGAGACCACCACTTCAGGGGTAGTAAACGGTTAACCTTTTTAATTGTCATTCATATGATTCACTGGGACGTGTGCGGGTTTATTTAAAACTCAGCGGGCTCCACAGTATTCTTATCAGATACTTTTTCCACGAAACTGTGAGTGTATTGTATTAGTAGTTTGCCTGAAGTCAGAAACAGATATTCTGTATGGCTAAATTTAAAATGTAACATTGTGGTAGGTTTTAGAGCCAGAAGCAAGAATAAATAGGCTTCCTTCTGTTAACTGGGAGCCTGTGTGTGTGTGTGCGTGTGTGTGTGTTAAGCTGAGAAGAAAGAAAAAAAGCTTTTTTTTGTCTTTGCCAGATTAGCAGAAGTCCAGTAACAAAGCAGAAAAGCTCAAAGCAAACCAAGAGAACAAACCCTGGTGGGCAACCAATTAATTCATTATTTGGCATCACAGAGGGAGAATATAAAGTAAAATCTTGTCATTGACATAAGGAGGGAAAAAAAATAAAACAAAAAGACCGACTAAATGACAAACATTCTCCACACAAAGTGAAATATCGCGATGCGGATCAATGGATGCTTGTGAGAAATCTCTTCATTAGCTCAACGGAGCACGGTCTCTGCACTCAGCACAGGGGATTTACTGCTGTGTTTCTTTAAATCAGAGAACCCACACACACACACACACACACACACTCCATCGCGCCATTTGAGCGCTTCCATTTCTGCACTACAGTGGCGGCTCCTGAAACAGAGGGGAAAACAGATAAGGAGGAGAAGGGAGGAGGAGAGGTTATTTTTAGAAGCAGAGAAGAGGTGACTCGGATGATAATGAGAAAAGGTCTGCAGGTTTTATCGAAATGAGAGACGGGTTCTTCACAGAGGAGACCCTCTCCAACAGATAGACTCACAATCATGAAACTGTTTCTATGAGAAACTAAAGACTATGGATGATTAAAAAAACAACAAACAAAAACACTTTCATTGTTGATTTAGTGTAGATGAATGAACGCATTTGTTTGGAAATTATATTTTAAACAGCAACATAAGTAACGTAAGAATATAATTTCAAAGATGAGATGTTACAAAACAGCAATACCCAAAATGGTAACAACAGAAATCAGAATAATGAGCCTTACAAATTTGAGCAAAGATGAGACTTTAATAAAACTGTGTTAAACTTTCTCTCAGTCCCTTGTGCTACGTCACAAATCAGCTGCACACGCTGTGCAAGTATAGTATAATGACCAGTTTCAGTGGAAAAAAACACATGAGAGCAGTTTAATGCTGTAAAACATAATCATGCACAAGATGATGGAGACATTAGCGAAACCTCCGCCCTGTCATTATGTTGGCTGTGCTTGAAATCATCCCAGTTTTTTCATGTTGCTTTCAAAAAGCCAATTTTTGTCTTTCAGGCCACCACTTATAGCCAGTTTTATGAGGCTTTCGTTATGTTACGTTCATGACGCTTAGAAACACAGACAATTTAATATGGAGCCACTGAACTGTATCTTTATGTACTTTATTTTGCAAGAAGCCCATAATAAAGATGCAATTTATTTGGTTTAATTTCAACCTGCGCTAAGATTGGTTGGAGACTCCTGCCGTAGATGATCAGCTAAAAGATTAGGCATCTCTAAGCCCTGCTAGTTCCGGTTTGCGAGGACTTGAGCAATCTTTCAGCTGTGCGCACAAGAATCCACTTGTGTCTTTCTTCCACCCATCTAACATCTCACAGGGTACCAAGGAGCCACATGTGAGCAGAAGGTGGATCCGTGTGGCTCCAGCCCGTGTCATAACAACGGCACATGCTACGGCCAGGGCCCCGGGCCCCTGGGATTCGGCTGTAGCTGCACAGCAGGTTTCACCGGCCCCACATGTGCCCAGCTAGTGGACTTCTGCGCCCTGAACCCTTGCGCCCACGGCGTGTGCCGCAGCGTGGCCAACAGCTACAGGTGTCTGTGTGTTCCAGGTAAGCTGCACAGATGAGCATCGACGTGAAGATGCCACTGAGCTGTAAGCATAACCAGCTGAAGCCAAAGGTCACACCGTTAGTATTGATAAATGAAGACCCTGACCTAAGCTATAAAAGTGAATATGTGTGACTTTGCAAATTTGATTTCATCCTTCAACCTCTTACATCTCAAAGTGTATGGTGGTGTGGCTCACTATTTTTTCTTTTCTTATTTGTTACAGTACGAAGCTTTTATTTGTCACGACTACAACCACGTTTTCACCAGTTAAACTGGCTCTTTCGACTCTGAAATATGAGACATTTTCAAACAACCGTATGTCATGTTTGTGCTAAAGCTGAGCAAGAACTAGAGAGAACATGCAACATGCAGTGTTTGGAGGCAAATTATGGCTTCATGTCTAGCTAAAACTAATTCATTTAAGAAATGCAAACCACGTAGTATTTTCCCTTTTCAACAAAAACTTTCATCCAAAAATATTAAATCAAATTTTGCATGATCAAACTAAACCAAAACAGCAGGGACTTTACTTCTAAGTTTGAACCTGGTTTGTAGTATTTGGCTTATTTCTAAAAAAAAAAAAAGGATTTTGATCAGATGTTGTCCATAGAAAAGATAGAATGAACTGTTCTGAACATTACATTTTTATTATTATTCAGAAACCTACAAAATAGGCATTACAAAGTTGTAATACGATGCTGTGCGAAACCCTTGAGACGCAGCTCTGTAAAGATGTCACCATTATTGTTCACAAAGTTTGATATTGACGATTAAATACACTTGAAACATTTATGTGGTTTCTCCAACTTACTATGTGAAGTATTTTTAATATCTTATTGCTCTCAGCTTATTTTTCTGCAACTATTAGCCTTTTATATGACACTTTCTTTCAGAAATCCATCTTCTTATTCGCAACACATCCCAAATGTTTAGGTTGGTCTGACGTAGCATAAACTAAATATAGCCTAAAACAGCTGATAAAGGCTTGCTGTATCAGAAAAGACGTTGGTTGGTAGCAGCGGCTTGGTAGAAGGAAATACTGCCTGGCTCAGAGATGAGGTATTTTTAGCTGGCATGATTTGTGAAGCCGATGCCTCTGTGATCAAATAAATTGGGCGGAATGATGACTTATCATTATCCATCGTCTTGCAATTACCTTGCCGGGATGGCGGGATGGATGGCTTTCTCAGTGGCCTATAAACATAATTTGACACTTTGCCCTGAGTGCTCTCAGTTTGTACAAGCTGTCAGTGGAGTGTATACAGCAGTCAGACTTTCCCTCTCTGACTCATATTTACACTCATCAGAAATACAGATGCTTCTTTTGTCATTTCTGTTGCTAAAAAAAAAGATGTACAGATAGTGGTGATGTATGATAAATTAGACTTAAAGTTGTCCTTTAGATGTTTTGGTAATTATCCAGGCAACGTGGATTGTTTCCATTTCCATTTAAAAAAAAAAAAAAACAACTTTGAATGATTTCATTTAAATTCAGCACATCAGGATCTTTCCATCTGCTGCTTTCCAACTGTTCCGATGTCTCCCCCTCTATAATTTATTTATTTTTTGGTTCATTTTTCCATTCCTTAATTTTTCTGTTCCGCTTGTCCTTTTGTCCTTTCTCTTCTTCGTCTTCCCTCTGTTTACCTCACCTCATTTCCCTCTCATCCTCTTTTGTCTGGTTGCCATGGTGAGGTGCCTTATACGTGTGTCCTTGTGTGTGTGTGTGTGTGCATATGCGGCTTTGCATGTGAAGATGCTGCCGTCCAATCAAGGGCCTCTTTCATGAGACTGGAGAAATTGATGGTTTGTAATTATTGTCCCGGTCTCTCCAATGAACACACACAGACAACATGAGGTAAAATCGTCTCCCCGGCTCACAACAACATCAGCTGGTGTGCGAGAATGCAAGTCTGTGAGCCTTCGTGTGTGTTGAGTTCTGCTAATTTGTCTGTTTGAGAGAGAGCTGATAATGTAGAAGGAGCCTTCTTCCAGTTCGTGTAATCCAGTCGACATGAGAGGCTGCCGCAACCACCAGCCTGCTCACAGACAACAGGCCGAGTCCTGGAAAGGCACTTGACATTTCACTGGCATTTCACAGAGGAGACCCGAGAGGCTCTAGCTGTGCTTCTCATTAAGTCCGTGTCTCTTCCTTCCCTCAAACACACATTAGTGGGGCCCAAGGAGACATCGCTGAACCTTCAGTCAGACAATGGGACACAGTTGAGGAACGGGACATGATGGAAATAGGTCGCTACAGTGCAATGCAAAAGAACCTTGAACTATTTCATTTTGTCATGCTGCAAATAAAACCCTAAACTTAGTTTTAGGGAATTTTATGCCATAGACCAATACGAAACAATGTAAAGATCTGAAGTTGAAGAAAGCTTTTATTTTTATTCATTTATTATTTTATTTTCATGAGTGTAGATCTGAAATTTGGAGTGTGGATTTGAAGAACCATCTTTCAATGTAATTACAGCTACAAGTCCTCTGGGGATGTCTTTACAAACCAATTCTCCACTGGATTTACATCTGAACTTTGACTAGGTCAAAGTCAAACTATGAGTTGGTTTTGCAGAGTGGCCGGACCCTGCCACCATCAATACAAGATGATGGTGAAAAATTAATGCATCACTGGATGGAAATGAATCTTGTGACATTAGAGACGCATATCAAGCCAATGCCACAGTGAATGTGAGCTACATTCAGAGTTAAAGGTGGTTGCAGCTTTTTTTTTTTTTTTGGCCAGGCAGTGCATGTGTTTCTTTGTCTTGGTTAGTCCCATGAAATTCCAATAAAATACAGATCTCAGCTGTAATGTGACAGTGTTGAAATGTTGCAGAGATATAGATGCTTTTGCAAAGAACTATATGCATCACAGTTTCCTTTCTCTTTTTTTCTTACTTTCCACAGATTTCAATAATAAGAATTTTAACACATTCAAACAAAAAGATGCACTCAGCTGCACCTGAGAACAAGAGGCTTTGCTCATGTCACACTTTATGATATTAAAACAACAACAAAAAAACCCGATATAGGCTCTGATTGTTTTCACCTGCTATTTGTAGCTGTTGCAGGCTCATAGTGCCTCAGCACATAACTGCCATCCTATGGATATACAGTGAACTGCATATAAAACTGCAATGAAACTGTCGCCTCAATGCTGATCAAATGGTGTGGCAGAATATTTTGCCTCCTGCCTGCTATCTGCACTTTCCGTACAATGAGAGGGCTCATGAAGTCATCAATGGTGTCATGGCTAGACTGGATAAAGAAAAATAGTCTTGAGGCAAACGAATCATGAAGGAGAAAGCCTGTTAACGTGACGCCAAGAGGTGTTTTCTCCTGCAGATGAATGCTTTGACACTTCTGGGAAGCTGTGAAATGTAAATGACAGTAGACAAGCTGCTTTCACACTTTGCAGCTGCTAACAAGATTCATTTACAAACACTTTCAATGAAGCAAAAAAAAAAAATAGAATTTGCACTTCACAGCTTCTGCTCTGGAAAAAAAAAATCAAAATGGCAGTATTGTATGATTTTTAAGACTCTAATAACACCACTGGCTGCCTTTTCCAGGCTACCATGGCTTGTACTGCGAGGAGGAGTTCAACGAGTGTCTGTCTGCGCCCTGCCAGAACTACGCCACCTGTAGGGATCTCATTAATGCCTATGAGTGTGTCTGCACGCCACAGTTTGAAGGTACACACACCCGTACATCAACTTCTACACTTTCACAACCTGCATAACGAATTGGTGCAAGTTCACTTCATGTGTGTATTTGCAGGAAAGCACTGCGAGATCTACAAGGATCCCTGCGTGAATGTACGCTGCCAGAACGGCGGTCGATGTGAGAGTAGTGGACTTAATGCTTCTTGTGCCTGTCCATCCGGATATGTAGGTATGCAATAATGTCCCGCATGGTTTACAGAATGACTTTATGAGGCCTGTGGATGTTGGGAAAAGAGTACAGACACAGAATATAGTGAATAGCATAGAATAGAATGCAAACATCCTGAAATCCAGGTTTCATAGCATCAAGTTAAAGGTATGTAGGGACATTCATATTCGCTCGAAAGTAAAAAAATCAGACTGCACAGAAAGAGCAAATTTACAACATAAGATAAATGGTACATTACAGTAAATGAAATGCAGAAAAAATGTTAAAATATAATTGTAATCCACAGGGGAATTGAAGAAACCCAAAGAGATGTAAAATAGCCAAAATCATCAGAAAAAATGGAATAGCTAAAATCTTTTTAATTCAGATAAATAAAAAACACCTTGTGATCTAATCACATTCTTGAAAGAAAAAGACTAAATTAAAAAAAAATCATAAACTTAAAAGAACAAAAAGTCCAAACCAGTTTAACTAGATCACGCAATGAATGATGGCTTTGCCTGTTAAAGTTATTTTACATACCCAGTTTTTATATACCCAGATCTAAGAACCGTGGGACTTTTTTTTTTTTTACTTTACTCTATTTTCTCCATTTCCAAGCTGAACCAGAACAAGATGCCTTGGGCCGACACCGGGGACATCAGCAGTATTATACAAAGACTTCAACTGGTAGAAATAGATTTATACTCTGGAGAGGAATAATACCGAGATCAACCCAGGGTCAACTCTACTAATGACTCAAAACAATGACCACCTCTGCATTATGCAGAGATTTCAGCCGGTACAAATGAAGATTCAGCGAGTGGAGGTTAATATCAAGATAAATGCTGGTTCTAGAAATGAAATAACTTTTCTTCAAAACAGTGGAGGGGTTGCATTCACCTCACCAAGCAGTTCACCCTGGAGCTCGCTGGGAGCTAAAGCCGAAAAAAAGTCTCACACTTCGAATCTGACGAGGCGAGAAAAAAAGGAAAAACCCTTCAGGAAGAACAGCATACACTGAACTGTTTGTGCTTTGAACCATAATAAATGAAAAGTTAAACAAGATATTTCTTACATATCGAGGATTTTGATGATGGCACTCATCAAAATGTAATGGTTGTTGCTGGTGTTCGCAATTGTGACTGCATGGTGTCTTTTATGACTTTGTATTGTGTGCTTTTATTTTGTAAGGCACTTTGAGCGACCTTGCTGCTGAACTGTGCCATACAAATAAACTTGATTCATTGATTTTCAATAAGGATCAGTCAATGCATCAATCTATCTTCCGCTTAATCTAAGCAGTCTTCCCTCTGACCGGCTCCTCCAGGGGAATATCAAGGCCAACAGGCTTTCTCTGGGTCTCCTAACTAGACGCTTGAGCCACTTTAATTGGCTCCTCTCACTATCCTCTGCATGACCCCCTTAGCTGAGATGCAGTTCACTCTAAACATCAGCTGTGTAGAGGATTGTGAATATTCTGATAGGTAGTGGGATGTCGTTGTTTTAGTTTTGCCTGTAAGTACAGTCATTGCTCGGCCTGTATTATGATCCCAGCGGTGGTTTTCTGTCAGGTCATCAGAGAAGTCTGAGTAACTTACTCCATTCTTGGTAAATAATGCTTTTAATTACAAGTTAATGGTTTTAAGAGGTAATTAGGTTAGGTTTTACACCATTTTCAAGTTGGTCTTGAAAATGGTATACAACCTAACATAATACACACTTTGCTTGTGGGTTTCTTGGTGTCTAGAAACCCACAAGATCAGTGTCTTCAGTGGGAAGACACTGATCATTCTGTAAATCACTGAACTAGCACCACATATCACTGAACTAGCACCACATATCCAGATGGCAAAAAATATTTTACTTTAACTCCAAATAGAGCAATTAATCCTTTCAAGAGTGAGAAAAGAGAAAATGTCTGGAAGGCAATGAATATTGGTAGGCAGGGCAGCAGCCTAACATCCACTTTTTGGTTTTATTGTGCCACTCACTTCTGACTGTAACCTTAACTGTCTTTTCAGGGGAGGAGTGCGAGGTTGACATCAATGAGTGCGAGAGCAACCCTTGTCACCACGGTGGCACCTGCATCGACCAATCAAACGGATACACCTGCCACTGCCCGCTTGGGTGGGTTGGCCCCAGCTGTGAAATCCGTAAGTCGACTTGTCAAAAAAAGTCTTTTAAGCTATCAATCAAAACTTCATGGAGAGACCTTTGGACCTTCCTCTGTGTGCCTCAGACCTGCAGTGGAAACCAGCGCACACTGAGGACACCCTGACCAACATGCCTCGCCACTCGCTGTACATCATCATCGGAGCGCTGTGTGTGGCATTCGTCCTCATGCTCATCATCCTCATAGTGGGCATCTGCCGCATCAGCCGCATCGAGTACCAGGGATCATCGCGCCACGCATACCAGGAGTTCTACAACTGCCGGAGCATCGACAGCGAGTTCAGCAATGCTATCGCCTCCATCCGCCATGCCAGGTATGAGGAAACTATGGTGACTAACAGGAGGGAGAGTTAAAAGGGTTAAATCAAATCCCCTTTCAGATTTTATGTTACTTTTGCCTTTTGTAGTTGGTCTATTTAAATGGTATTGATTATTTATTAGAATGATTACCTCTTTTATTTCAGTGCCTGACTAATTTCAGAAGAATGTTTTTTTTTTAAAATTAATCTTCTCACTTCAACCCGTTGATCATTTTGGATAGAAAAAAATCAAACTTGTGATGAGCTAGTGTAAAAACAACATACTCACATTCAAAGAAATGTGCAACTGAGTTGGATAGGGTCTTAGATTTTCTATGCTTTTATTCAAGATCATAATTTACAAAGTATACAAAATGTGCCTGAGTACTTATGCATAAAGCAAAATCCACTAGGACACGAACAGGTGAGTTTGGTTTAGAGAACCTTGACTGGTCCACACCGAGCCATGACCATAAACCAACAGAACATCTTTGGGAAGATTTAGGGCGGCGACAGCGAGCCTGGTCTCTCGTCCAGCATCATTGTCTGACCTCGTGAATGTGTTTGAAGATTGTTCAATTCTCCCCATAAACGAAACATTAAAACCTGTAGACGATGTCCAACTTTAATTTTGAAGACAAATTGAAAATCAACAATTACTAATATTTGTCTTACTCACAAAACCTTAATCAGTGAATTACACAAAGACTGTTTGTCAGTCAAACCTTTTCATGTCCTCCAACCTCTAACCACTTTACGCTCTCTCGTTAGATTTGGAAAGAAGTCTCGGCCTGCCATGTATGATGCCACCCCCATCGCCTACGAGGACTACAGTCCAGATGACAAACCTCTGGTCACCCTCATTAAGACAAAGGATTTGTAAAAGTCCACAAACTCAAACCATAACAAGCTGTATGTATAGTGCATACGCAGATACAAACTCACATGTCTATAAAAATGAAAGTATTTCTTAAAACAAACATAACAGCAAAATCTCATTTGAATGTAAAGAAATAAAAGAAACATGGCGTAGCTAAAAAGAAGCAAATCTGGAGTTTGATACCATATCTATTTTCCTGAGGATAAGGCTTTGTAGTAGCATACTTTGCATTACTTTTAAGTTACAGATGCTGAGCAGCATTTGCAGTACCCTCTGCTGCCCAATAAATAGTTGATTTTAGTCTGAACCAGACGATCTGTAGGAGGAGGTCCAACAAATAAAGGCAGTAGACAGCATCAACAACGGTCCTTTGGTACCTACGGAGCCCTCCAGGGGACATGGGGAATTTTTTTTTTCTTTTGCGTTCACTCGCAATAATCTACTGATCACTTCATGCGGCATAATTGAATACTGTAAGCCTTTCTTACGGTGGCCGCTGTACTTTCTGCTTTAATACAAGGTTATATAAGGTTTTTCCATGAATGTCAATATCTCGTTGTGAAATATCAATGTTTTATATTTTTTTCTTTAGTATAGAAAGGCACAACAAACCTATGATATAAACAGAAACTTTCCGTAAGTAGGAAAGAAATAAAATGCATCCAAACTATTTGGACTATTTCTGAGTTATTATCGCGGGGTAATAAGTCATCTGATTGTATCTCTGTTGTGTTTGTCTGAATGGTTTAAAGGGCTGCTTTCAGTGCCGTTCCATCTGAGCCTTAACAGACATAAACATGCAGCAAATAAATCGATTTTCAATCAGTTTTTTTGCACCAAAGCGTTAATAATAATAAACACGTTTTATTATTATAAAACACGGCAAACTAGTGGTGGTAGAGGGCCGCACTGGGTTAACTCGGGGAATCTTGTCTGTCCGTGTATCAATCAACTCCTAACCTCTTCTTTGTTCTGTCACAATGATCGATTTATTCCATTTAGATTATCATGCTCCAAACTTTGCGAGGACTGATCACCCCGCTCAACCGCTTCCTCATACACACAAAGCCAACACACCAGTAATCTTCCCATTCACACTTGATGACAGTCACGCCCACATCGACACGCCCGCCACCAGGTGTCAAAGCCGCTGCTTCTGTCATATCAATAATTACTTATTTCATTCATATGGCTCTTACAAAGCCTCACTGAAAACGTGTTTATTATTATTAACGCTTTGGTGCAAAAAACTGATTGAAAAATCGATTTATTTACTGCATGTTTATGTCTGTTAAGGCTAAGATGGAACGGCACAGAAAGCTGCCATTTAAACCATTCAGACTACGAACACAACAGAGACACAATTAAAACTGTCAGATGACTGATTACCCCGCGATAATAACTCAGAAATAGTCTAAATAGTTTAGATGTATTTTATTTCTTTAGTACTTACGGAAAGTTTCTGTTTATATCATAGGTTTGTTGTGCCTTTCTATACTAAAGAAAAAGATATAAAACGTCTGATATTTCACGAGATATTAACATTCATGGAAAAACCTTATATAACCTTGTATTAAAGCAGAAAGTATGGCGGCCACCGTAAGAAAGGCTTACAGTATTCAATTATGCTGCATGAACTGATCAGTAGATTATTGAGAAGGAACACACAAGTATTGCGAGGGAACGCAAAAGAAAAAATTTCCCCATGTCCCTTGGAGGGCTCCGTACTTTGGAGTATTTTAGAATTAGCCACACTTCACTTTCTTTTCAGTATCAGAAAATGTAAACACCTGCAGTAGGTTGCCTTACTTTGTGCATGAATAAATTTGGTGTTCTCCTTTCAACATTTTTAAACCCTTTGTAACTGGTTGTTGCTCTGATTTTTATGCAGCCTCCCACAGTTATTTGCGCCACCATTGAAAGTTTACTCAATGCCTTAAAAGAAATTCATGTTTTGTTGCACATTGAAAGTTTATTTTGTATTCCATTTCGCGGTGAAACTTTTCAAATCCTCCTTCTTTTTTTTTTCCAGAGAACACAACTTAATCTTTAACATTTCATGAGGTTGAAGCACAGAAAAAGAAAGAACTTTGGGAATTACTTCTGCAGGTTTTCTCTAGATTGCGTAGAGTCTTAGGTCTTCTGCCGTGCCCTCTCTTCCTCACTTCACCGTAGTTATTCTATGAGTTTTCCATTTGAAGACAGGAGAGTAGAAGAAAATGGGTTTTGTGTCTGGTAACTGCCTTTCTGGGTTGATTTGGCCTTAGGTTTTGGATTATTTTTGCAGTTGAAAGATTCAGTTGTGACCTGGCTTAATTTATCTAGGAGAGGCTCAATAAGATTTATTGAAATCTTATATTTAACATAGTTCAAAAAGCCATGTTCACTAATAAGTTGTTTGGAAGAGAAAGAGGCATAGAGCCGCCAATATTCAGGGGTGGACATGAGGGACATTTGCTTAAGTCTTTATTTTTCTTTATCTTCATACACCTTTATCAAATCTGTTCAACTATTCCAGTTCAAGTCTGTGTTGTTAATCCCATTTCCAACATGTTTGTTTGTGGCGGTTAGACAGAAAAAGTGTTTTCCTGTCATCCCTCTCAAACAACCAATAAGCATTCAATTTGTGTTAAATAGTTACCACGGAAACCAGGGGACCAAGAGAAGCTACTCTTTGCTACATTTCTCTAACAGTGAACGATAGGTGTTTTTTCTCGTCCCGTATCATTCTGCTCGCTGTTCCAGGTGGCGTATTCAGTCCTCATCGAGTCATTTTGATTCACTTGAAACTTTGAAATTATTGCTCTGATTAATAATGGGCAAGCTTTACCAAGTATTATCTGTTTGCCATTTCTTACTTATAAAGATCTACCCATGTCTCCTCCACCCAAGTGACACGTTCTCCCGTCTTTCCCATTATTAGTCTTTCAGTATTGAATTATGCCACTGCAATAAAAAATAAATATGCTTTAAGGCTTTCTGACATCTTTAAGAGGAGTGCCAATAACTGTGGACGGCTCTGTAAATGCAGACGTATTATTCTCTGTCGAGACTGTGCCAAATGTTTTCTTTAGGTATGCCGTGGTTAGTCGACAAAATCCGAACGTGTATAAAATACTAGTCACACAGGGTTTTTCTTTTTATATTCGTCCTGTTCTATACAAGTTTCTCAGTGGTGTATGAATAGTAAATTAAATGGGTCTACTAGAACTACCCTACAAACCTACTCTATGTATTTCAGTGATATATAGGATAATAGGTGGATATATTTCTCACTGCACAGAAAAATAGATGGTTTCACACAGTGTACCTGCTAATCCCAGTGTACAAATTCACCTCTCATACCGGCAGTGCTGAGTAGTTTCTGTATGTATGTTTCTTTATGAGATTGGGCTCTCTAAAACCACTGGTGAGGACGGCAAAGAGAAAGAGGAGACTGAAAATGATGGTACCTATTCTAGAATATACTGTTTGTGCTTGTGTGTTTCTGCCAGTGGACAGCTTCCTGTCTGTGCAGCTGTGTCATTTCCCCTCACGGTCGGACAGCGTGCTATTGAGTGCAGAAAATCTCACTATTTATTTTTCCTCATTTCAGACACACTTAAGACATGATTACCTATTATCTATGTTGAATTATGTAAACAATAAAGTGCTCATAGTCTTATCTCATCGTGTCCTGAGTGAATTTTATTTCATTGCATGTGTGGAACTAGAATCTCTTCCGTGCTACTCTCCGGCGTTCATTTTCTTATACTCCAGAGTTGTAGCCATCACACTGGAGGGCGAGCCATGGGAAAGGCCTTTTATGGAGTGCCAGTGATGGGAACACACTGGCTGACCCCAGGCCTTGTCCAGATGTTCCCGCGTGTAAACATGGCTAAACACAGACTGTGACTGCCGTGTCTTTGTGCACACCTAGGTATGTTTTGTACGGAGACAAGTAGACACTCGTTCCAGGAGGAACAGATGTTCCTCGCTCTCACCTTTACTTATGGTCTGTTCTGGAGAACTGCGCTTGACCTTTGCCCTCTGAATGCTGCAGAGGGTCAGACTGTTTGGCTTTAAGCACAGTCAGCTGTATAGGTTCCTGCACCAGAAGAAATACACAGTGACACTTTGTGTTGTATTTAGCTTAAACAGTTTTTTCAGTAACCCTCTTTATTATTAATATATTTTTTTACAGCAGCAAACAAGTTTCACTTTTAGAATCATATCTATCCCTATTGCAAACAATCAGGTGAAAAGGATTTTTAAGAGCTTAAGTGATCAGAATCTGTGAACATAACCTTCATTGTTCCCAAACAACTTTTAGAGAATTAAAGAATTAAGGCCTTCAAATACTGCTACTAGCATTATGCTTATGCAACTGTTATGTAATCAGGTTAATTTACATGAATTATTACACCAGATTTTAATCTTGAGGGGGATGGGGGGTGATTGATCAAATCAGGCCTTAAACCAACCACTTCAAAAAGATCCTGCAGAGAAAAAAAAAATCAAAAGTTTTTTCTGTGAAATATGATTACAGAAGTTCGTTGAGAATTAAACAGCATGAAAAGATTCCCCCCTCCAAAATTAAACAAGATAAAACACACAGAAAACCAACTAAAAATGATTTGTTCTCTCTACTTTATGACTAGCTTTGAATCACAGCAATCGACGTGTGACCCATTTGTTGTTTTTTAATTAATACCCTTAATCTGACAATATAATTATATTGTACTGCAATAAATTGAACTGACGTGAAATTACTTTGTACCAAACTGGATTCCATTTAAATAAACATAACGTTTTTTGAGAAAACGCTTATTATGAATTAGCCATGTATAAATAAACTGTATTTATTATGGTAAAAAATGAACAAACTTTACATCACACTATAACTAGTAAGTAGTAAGGCACACACTGTGTGGGAGCTGGATTTTCTACATCAACCTGAAGGCAGCACCAACACAACAAGGACAGCAGGTACCTCCACCTGCTGGCAAATGTGTTAACTACATCCAGGCGGAGCAACACATCCTTCATTACCGAGCCGACCACAGCGAAGGGGGACAGAGAGGGAAGCTGCTAAAGCCAACAGATGTGAACTGGACTGCGGGAGGAGAAAACCCAGAAGTGAAGACAGAGAACCAGCGACTCTGCTAATATGTGGCAACCTGCGTCGGAGCGGCTGCAGGTAGGAACAGGCATTTTGGTGGGGCACCTCTCATCGGCAGGGCAGGAGTAAATGGAGCCGTGGTAACAGCTACTCAGCCCCGCTGTGCTGTGCGTGGCTCAAACCTGAAACTACGTCTTCTCAGCGGCTACAGATGGCGGTCAGCGCACAGTTTTAATCCACATCCCTGTCTCAGAGTTCGCGTTTAAATGAAACATCTGGGTCTCTCCGGAGGGTTTAGCGGGTCTGAAGGCACCTATCCACGTTACGCAAGCAGGAGTGCATCAAACTATCGTGTCTCATGCGCTGCATTCCTCTGCTAATCCACAGCTGGAGGTTATTTGAACTCATAAAGTCAAACACATGCATTTTAAAGTTATGTTAAAGACGCCGTTTTTATCTTCTTCGCTGTTTTCATCCATCTCTTTGTAGCTGAACTTACGGCCTTATCCTCATGTTGCTCACACCAGGATGCTTAAATTCTAGTTTAGCATTTTAATCTTAGTGTCAAATTGCTGAAAGCTAAAGAAACAAAACAAGAAGAGCGAAGTAAAAAGATCCACTGATGACACGTAGTTCGTTACCCAGGGGTAAATCTGTGCACCGACCCCATGGCTTCACGTCTCTGTTGCACACGTAATGCTCTCCAGATGTCGGCCTGCGAAGTGCCTGCCAAGTGAACTTGCACAATTCCGTCTCCTGCCCAGGCGTCAGGAGGATGGACCATTTAGTTCCGCTTGTTTCTCTTCCCCTCGGATGTGAAGCTACAGTAGATCCCTGTAAACAGAAATCTGCGCTTCACGGTAAAACGTGCAGGTTGGAGCCGCTAGGATAGGCTAACCCGTCGCCTAGCAACCGCGTTCCAGAACGCGGCTGAAAGAAGCCCATCATTTAAAAAATGTTCCTAGTCAGGGGATTCTGGACAGCGTTTATTTACCTCTTTCTGCGTTTAATTGTGTGTCCTTGTCTTCTTGTCACAGCTTCATATGAGCAAGTAAATCATACCATATTTAACCAGGCCTTTCACTGCAACAAGATATTGCCGCACAGCGCCACCAAATCATTCTTGTTTGACTCTTCCACATTATCTTGCATGACAGATTTATTCATATTCGAGTACACTCAGTGACCCATAATAAACGAGAATATGTTCTTGAAAGAAAAGTGTCTGTAATTTCTACATGTTTCAAGATATAGCTATTCTGCATTTTTATGTGGTTGGAATATGTGTTAAATAACTTGCTTCAGTTCTAATAGTAATTTAATCAGCAAGTATTTTTATTGTAAAAATGTTCAACTTTGCAAATAACAAAAGGAACTGGCATAAAATAAGACTGTTTTCTAAAAATCTTCACATCTGTCAGTAAACCGATTTATATAAATAATTAAATTTTAAACGGTTTTTGTTGAAAGAGAAACCATTAAAAAGATGCAAATGAACATATTTAAAATAACTTTCAATTGTTATGATAAAAAAAAGTATTTTGGTTACAAACTAGAAAAACTTACACTACGGTTAAGATTGTTTCTTCTGATTGAGATACTTTTTCCACCGTTTGTTCCAGGAGAGTGGCTCCAAATAAATAAAAATATGAAAAGTGAAGTTCTGATGAAGTCAAATGACTGCTTGGTACTATTTAGTATTATTTCTTTATGTTATGCTGATTGCAAAAGGCATGATATTGTTAGAGCAATATTTGTGGACCTCTGACTGTATGCAGGAATAGATGGACATCTAAACGGCGTTAATAAATATGAGGTACTTTTTATAGTAACATATTGTTGTAAACATCACAAATATATTGTGAGAAAATTTGGAGTCTATTTCACCCTTACTTGATGGTCAGAAATAGAAATGCTGAGCATTATTTAAGCCCTACTAACGCCCATCTTCATCCAGTGAAGCGATAAAACAAAAACAAAATTTCACTTAAAATTTCACTCTTTAATTCTAGACTTGGAATATAAACCCAAAGCTGTATTTTATCTAATACATTCTGAATCTGTGACACACTGGAAGACAAATATGATTGAAACATGGCAGATGGTCAGATAAACAGATAATTAGTCAAAGTGGGTAGAAATATGAAGCATAACATTTTGTTACCTAGTTTGACTTTATTTAGCCATTTGACAGATCCTGCTTACAGCTTCAAAGAGAAAACAGAGGAGCATAAGTTCACTACGAGAAGTTTATGTAGATTTTTGTACAGTACAAGCTTTTCAAATGCTTTATATATTTGAACTTCAACTGAAGTATATTTTAAAGGTAAAGTCAAACAAATTGTCCTGGCTTTCTCCCTGATCTGAGAGAGACTAAGAAGTCCATGTGGAGCGCTCTCTGAAGACTGAAAGATAACCTTGCAGATCAGGAATCTGTAAACCCTCAAGCAGAAGCCATGCTGGAGTGATTTTAACTTTGTGTTTAACATCTGAGCTGTAATTGTGACTTGGGGCTGTGGGGAAACCTTGAAAAAGAAATAGGAATGTAAAAAAAAAAAAAAATGCGATAAGCAGTCCCACCAGTTCACCTCCTGAAGGGCCAGCTGTGGCTGGAACCTTACAAAACACTTTTGTTTGTTTCTCTTGTTCTTGTCGTTAATTTGACTCATTCATACGGAGTTTTTTAAACTGGTTTTACAGAATATTTTAAGTGGGAAAGTCTGTAATTCCCAGCACATGCACTTAAAGGGAGCTTTAGAATCAAACCGGAATTGCTCAGTATGTGTTTGTCTTTGTCCGCATATTACACAATCCATGATATTCTCTCTTTCTGTTGCCATAGCAACACCTGATGTCTCACTGCATTTTTGTCTCACACTCTGGTGGGTAAAGAAAAGAGGGTAAAAAGAGCTAGATGGATATGTTGGGGGTGGGGGGAGGAGGTCAGGAGATCCAGGCTATGGAGTGCAGAGAATTATTGCGCCTTTGTGCTGGTGCTGCATCATGCCTCCCTGTTTTTCTCTCCGTCTGTCTGCGCGCTCTTCCTCCGCTGACCACATCCTTCGGTCAGTTTCAGGGGGCCCTTCCTCTCCTACACAGAGTCCATTTAAGTTCACTGACAAATTGCACAACACGCACAAGCGGTCTGAGAAATACTCACTTGTGTGCCCGTACCTCAGCTAAAAGCTACATGCGCACGCAGACGTGCGAGCGTGGCTTCCCGTTTGAGGTGCCAGATGTGCTCCCTTCCCATTTCAGCAGCCGCGGCCTGAACTTTTAGCACCTAAATGTGACATATGGGGCCGATGAGAAGATGTGACCTGACGATGCAGAAATGGCTGCCTGAGGTCAAACACGGTCAAAAGCAGCTTCTGTCAGTGGCCATCTTTATTTGCCTTTGTTTCTGTCTCCGTCTGTCTGAGGTTTGTTTGTAGGCACAGCTAGGCTGAGTGTGGTCTCAGCGAGTGAAGGAATCCACAAGCAGACTGGCATACTTCCCTCATCTCATTTTTTATTTTTTTTTTAAGTCTGCATATGATTTCTTCCTTTTTACCCAGGTGACTTATGACTTTTTGTATCCAGTGAATAGACTTAATTTCCTGATTGTGATGCTTTTTGGTAAATCAGTTTGTAAGGGATGTGGTTCGTCTTTTCATTAAAAATGCCTGTCTCAGGAGGACATTTATCTTATTGTTCCTCATTTACTTATTTTTTCTCTTTTTTAAACTTATTATTACTACTTATATATATATAT